TTTGGGCTCGTTAGAATTGTCTCATCGAGACAGTCATTTTGGTGATAAAATCATCCAAGATGGGTCAACGTATAAAGAGTTATTTACTTTTAAAGTTTTTAACATTGTTAATAGTAATTCCTCAAATCCGCCCATATGTTATACTTTTAAAGTCATTTATTCTAGTTTAATAATTATAACACATGGCTAAATGTTTTGAATTATTTTTTTAAGTTAGATTCTATAAAATTTCTTCGCATTTATTTTATTTATTTTTTTACTCTTCTACAGCAATTCTTTTGTATGAACACAATATAAAGAAGGTTTAATGAACTAGACTTTTTTTTTTTTTTGAATGTAAAGAAAATATCATATTAAAAAGGACCTATTACAATATCGATACGTATATTTATGGGACCTCTTCAGATCATGTCATGTGAAAATCACGGAAAACATCGAAATTATTTTTTTCACAATAACTCTTCCAATACTAACTTAATTGGGAGTGATGCTTATTTTGTATAAAACTTTATCCAACGAGCATAAAAGTGCGACAAATCCAAGAAAATATGATTTGACTAATAAAAAGACACGGTGCAAAATTGTATTACGATTTTGATGTCATCAAAAACGCACTTTAAATAATATGGTCTAACCTTGCGTGTTTTATTTATGTAATCACATAACTCATCGAGTTTAATACTGTAAGATAAGAATAAAAAAAAAAAAACCTTAATAATTAGCTAGGCGAGCTAGGTGTCTTAACGTCTAATATATTGTGCAAGCAACAAACCATAAACAAAGTTTAAAAAATCTGAATTGATAGTTCTTATAGTAAAATCTTTTAAAAATTTCGCCGAATATTATACGAACTTATAAAAAAATTTGAAAAAATTTTATGTATAGTGCACGTAACTAATACCTGATACTATATAAAAAAAAAAAGGGGAAATAAATTAAACATTTAAATAATTATGAGAAGGATAGACTATTCGCTTGAAAAATATGGTCTAGATTTTTCCATAGCCGCAAAATAACGATGCGGAATATGATTTCGAAGCATAGTGAGTACTGGTAATCTAAGTACATTCTCGTAAGGAAGTAAAGTTTTGTTATAAATATTTGAATTATTATTATTCTTTATTTTCTGATCTACAACCGAAGATTCATCATTATTCAACAACTTTTTCCAATCATTCCAAGTTAATGTCTGGTTATCTTCTATGATAGAGGAATCGGCGTTGAAAAGGATGAACATAAGGCATTCATTTACTACCAAAAATCTGCAGATATGGGTCATGCTAATGGAATAACTACACTTGGTAACTGTTATCGTGATGGAGCCGGAGTCGAGAAAAATGAATACAAAGCGTTTGAATGTTACAAAAAGGCTGCTAATATGAATAATTTTGGTGGAATAAGTAATCTCGGTGATTGTTATCTAAATGGATTCGGAGTACAAAGAGATGTTCAAAGAGCCAATCATTGGTATCGAAAAGAAAGAAGTCTTAAAAAAACCAATAAATTATCAAGTGGAGATATTGATAATAGTCTTAAAAAAATATTGAATGATGAAAATTATAAATTATCATGGATTAATTACGATGAATTCAAAAATATACGAGAAATAGGAAAAGGTGGATTCGCTACCGTATTTTATGCGTATTGGCATAGTAAAAATGATAGTATTTGGAGAACTGTTGCGCTTAAACTCATTCACAGTTCGAACGAAAATGTTAAAAATTTCGTTCAAGAATTAAAGAATTACTGCGATATAGGTTACGAAAATCCATCATTTTTAGCATGTCATGGTATATCAAGAGATGATGCAACTAAAGATTATATAATTGTCTTGCAATATGCAAGTAAAGGATCATTACGTCAGAATATCGATTCAGTGTCTCAATTAGGGTGGAAAGATAAGTTGAATATAGTGTACTGTATTGCTTCAGATCTTGAATCCATACATTCTCAAGAGCTTGTTCATCGAGATTTACATAGTGGCAATATCTTGCAAGAAAATTTATATAGCGCTTACATCACAGATCTAGGACTTTCTTCCGAAAATGAAAATGAAGGAAATATTTGTGGCATTATGCCTTATATTGCACCTGAAGTCTTGATGGGTAAACTATTCACACAGGCAGCTGATATCTACAGTCTTGGAATTATCATGATAGAAATATCAACAGGAAAAAGAGCCTTCGATGGTGAAACATTTGACTTGCGACTTGCATTACAAATTTGTAACGAAAAAAATCCTTTAAGACCAGAATTTGCACCTGGGACACCAGATTGTTACATTAAATTAGCTCAAAGATGCATGGACAAAGATCCGAGTAAAAGACCTAATGCAACTATAATTAGCAGTAGAATCGTTTATTGGTTAGACGATATAGAACAAGATGATAATAACGAATTTAAAAAGCAATTCTTAGAAGCCGACAAAATCAAGCCAAAATTAATCAAACCGAAACATCCGAATCAAATATACACTAGCAAATCAATAGATACTACTCAAATCTCTGAAGGATTATCTAAATTACTGATCTCCTGATGTCAATTTATGTTGATTAATTAATTTATTTCGTTATTTTCAATAGATATCAGTTATAAAATTTAGAAACCATTATTCTTTTATGATAAATTTTTAGCGAGCTTATTAGTTTCATGAGAGAATTGTACAATAAAATTTTTATTTGGATATAGTATTACGAAGGGGGGGGGGTTTAATGAAATTTGAGTTTTTAATTGCATTAAAATCGGCTTAAACCATTTTTGAATCGGTAAAAGGTAAAGAATGAGCATGTTGATTAATAAATGTGATTGACGTAGAAACAAAATTTTTTCCTCTTAAACCTTCACTTTTGTGGTCATATAGGTTACGATTTGTGCGAGATTAACTATAAGGTTTAAATGTCATGAAATTCGAAAACTTAATACTTTTATTATTATTAACAAATGAAAGTACAAAAAAAAGAATGGGGATCTAAAAAAACTAAGGTCGACTTCTTCATATTTCGCTATAATGTATTTTGTGATATTTTTTTTAGACTTATCAGAATGGTATGTAATTCTATTAGATTTTATTAGTATATAAAGATCTTTAGTATGAGCTAATATTACAAATAAAACAAAGACATCGCAAAATAAATCAATAATTAATAGTAATAAAAATAAAAATTAAAATAATGAAAATCATAGTAACATGCGAAGCGAAGGGTGCTGTTTTTTCAATAAATGATTGTTTTATGCAAAAATCTATTCATTTTCAATTTTTTGTGCTTTACTTATCAAATCAGGGTCAGATTTTCCTTCTTTGATAATTTGCAAAATATCTTCTGTACCTTTTATTGAGTAAGTCGTGTGTTCATTTATCGAACATTTGTTTAGTAAAGGTATTTCAACTTTTTTTTCTAAATTACTAAGGAAATAATATAAGATAGGAGCGCTTTTATTGTAAACAGGAGGTCTGTTCTTAACATAATCTGCA